CTATCTGAAGTTTCCATCTCATTTATTAGAGTATTTTTCTTTATGGTCTGAAATTCAAGCATCTTTCTAGAGTATTAACCCTTCTACTAGAATAAAAGTGATTGATTTGAGCGGTATTTACAGGGAACTTGTATTGTCTCTTCAAACTAGATCTTACTATTAATGTGACTTTCCTACACCCAAACTACAGGAGAATAAGTTTATTTTAGTCATGAAGGAAGCAAAGGGCTCTTTAATATTGCCTATATATACCCTGAAAATCATTTTCCTTCAAACTGGTTCAATAACAAGCCAAACACTAAACAAAGTGTTCTGTTAGGGCAATCCTATATATGACCCTACAAAAGAAAAGCTTTTAAAGAGTTCCTATAAAATTCACTTACTCTCAAAGAGTATTTCAAGCTCATTCAGCTTGAATTTGCCAACGACCTTAAATGCAGTAACTCTGCTCTGAGGCAGCAAAGGAGTTAAATCTCAGCACTATGAAGCTATCAGCAGCCACTATGGTCTGAGTTCAATCCCAGACCAGGAAGCTGACCCATATGGCACAGCAGAACTCTCCTGCCCCACCAGCTGCTCCCTTCTGCAGTACATTTCAATAGATTCATCTGCTGTTCTCCCCGTCTCTGGTGAATCTTCTCACCCCCTGCACCTCTGGCCTACACTCCAGTTCTTTTATGCATAAATAAGTAAAAGTAAATCTTTAAAAAGAGAACTCTGCTGAGTTGGAAATACAGGAAATAACTTTTTATATTGTAATTTCTGAGGTATAGCTTTGGTTAATGGTTATTTGTTTTTTCAATATCAAGAACCAAAGACCAATCCATTGTATGTTAGATCCTGGAAACAATTTGAGAATACTTTCTTTACAAAGAAACCACCTATATTGTTTAGCCCAAGAGACAGCTTCAGCTTCCTTAATCACTGCAGGTAATGCATGTGGCAGAAACTGATCTTATATAGTGAAAACCTCTGCAAGCATTTCTTTCCAAAATATGTATTCATCTTCCCAGCTCAACTAATCAGGAAAAACCTGATATTCAGGCCTTCAGATAAAACCAACATAGAGGCCCTCCCTGGTGGCGCAGCGGGTTAAAGCCCAGCACTGAGAATCTAAAGCCACTTCCGCATGAGTTCGATTCCCACCTGCCCCGGAGGTGACCACATGGCGTGGCAGACCTCTCCTGACCCGCCCGCTGCTCCCCTCAGCAGTGTACTTCGTCCATCTGCCTGTTCTGCTCCCCACTCTGTCTCTGGTGAAGCCTCTCGCCGCCCCTGAGCCTCTGGCCTGTACCCCAGTTCTGTATGCACAAATAAATAAATCTTTAAAAAAAAAAACCAACATACATTCAGGATTATCTGGCAAATTGTGACTTTGAAGTATACACTCCCCATAAACATTTGTTATATCAAATATTTAAATCTTCACCTAGAAAATACAGTTGTTCCAGTCATGGACAAAGTCAGGCTCCTATAAGTACATAGACAACCATCTTTGAGCTCAGTCTTTCCACCCCCCATTACCCCACAATGATCCTACTTTCAATACCTACCTAACTCTAAAGGAGAGATTAAATTGCCCTTTACATATTTACATAATGAGTAAGTTTCTATCCCTCAGCAAGTAATCTTTTTAAAGTTTTGTGAGTTCTTATTGGGTACTTATTTAAAGAGTAGTGATAAAGTAAGATTAGGAAAAACTCTTCAAGGAGTCTTGCCTTAAGTCTCAATTTTTTTTAATTCAGAAAGACGTTTCTTCAATCTGGGAAATGGAGCCCACACATACCTTTAGTAAAGACACACACAAAGTATTTTTAAAGGTGTTTGAAGTCAAGTGCTCTGCTGGAGTTCTATCACTCTCTATATCCACAGTTTCACCCAAGAAGGTGGTCCCTCCTCAAATCCATGTCATACAGTTGTCTCCCTGGGGCATTTGAGGATCCAAATCTGATAGCTGATCAGGACCAACAGGGTCCTTCCAGCATTAAACACACCAAAAATCCACTCTCAAATACCTAAGGCAAGTTGTCTCTATTACCCTTCTACTTTCCACACATTTGGGGGATAACAAACCTACCTAATTCTCTAGTAGAATGTAGCTTCTTAAAGTTAGTTTCCCACATCTTTATCTTCAAAAGACCTAATTACTAAAACAGTTTGTTTTATCACCCCACCCCCCAAACTAAATCATTACAAAACACAAAGTTGAAATTCCCTTGTATAATTCAGCAGTATATGGCAATATAAAGACAGTATCAAGACATTACAGTAGTAAAAAGAAAATCAATGATCCAGTTGCAGTTGTTATAAAATGTACACAGCGCTATTACAGCAGGAAGTGTTTCTACTATGGTACCAGATTCTGTCAGTTCTTTGGTGACCTAAGATTAAAGCAAGAGCACTGGCATGTGGGCAGAATAATTTTCATTTCTATATTAGAACTGTGGCTCAAAAATTATCCCACATAAATCAGGGGTAACAGCATACTCAGACCCAAAAAATAACCTATCAAATCATAACAAATAAGACACACTATTTTCAGATAAATGGAAAAACCTGTATTGAAAACTCATAGATACCAATGAAGTTGCCACTATCATCCATGTTGGAAATAAGGAAAAGGAGGCTCAGCCTTAAAAACCTGTTCAGAAATCATATAACTATATTAAACAACTAGAAAATAGTGGAGCTGGGATCTATCTCTAGATTTGATCTCAAAGGTCACCTGCAAAATACACTAAGGCTTTCTAGATATCTGATGCTGCTTCAAAGAACTATTTACACAATTCACAAGAATTTACTGCAAGTATATGCTTGTATTTTTTTGTTGTTGTTATGTTTTCAAGTCATATTCTTAACAGTTACCTTCTCTTTTAACATGCCAGTGGCTTAGCTGACAGTTATCATCTGTACTGTGCAATGTCCCATAGTCTGGGCTTAGCTAGTTATTATTTCATGGCACCATTTAAGTTGTATCTCTATTTTCTGTTATTTCTTGTAAATTCAAAGTTGGACTGAGATGAATCCTGTCAAACCTCTAATTTTTTTAGACAAATATATTTCATCTGTATTACTATGAATTCCTATTACATCAAATAAGTAAACACATAATGTCTGGTCATTCCAGTTTCAGTGACTCTATACAGTGGATTCAAAGTCTAATCTCTCCACTATAAAGGGAGCCCAGACATGTAACTGTAACATTATTGTTGTCCAAGATAAGCATCTGGAATGGAATTGGCAGCGTAGTATGTAAATAAAATGTTATCCTAAGTGACTCCTCTAAAAGGAAATAAATGGTGTTTATTCAAATCTTCTAGGAAAGAAATCACTCCAACACTATCTATTGCAGACAAGCTCTCAATAAATTTAAATACTGATTAACAAAACTTAAACAATCATTAAAAATTTTAAAGGATCAAAGTTCAAGAATATCAAAGTCTAGTTCCAATTATTTTATAACTCAGTATGTGTTCTTACTTAGTTCTCTGAATCCTATATGCCTACACTTACCCAACCAGAAATGGAGATGTAAGTGAACTGACCTTGCCACAAGGACATGAGAAGGATAAAATAAAATGCAAACATTAATAAAAGGTAAGGTAGGTATTTGTTCTCATCAATTAGACTTAATTTCACTCAGAACATATTATATATTGGTAATAAATTAAAAGCCAGGGAAACCACCAAAAATACAATAAACTAAATGCTTCAGAAGCAACTACAGCCTGATTTGAAAAGATACTATGAATGAATTAAAAAGAATATGTCACTTGCCTATAGCTGCTATGCCAGCACTCTAATAATTTACTTAAAATTGGCTGCTACCATTTATTGGCTGTGTGTGAAAGCTATATCACACACAGCTATAATTCCCTGAAGAAGTTATATTTAACAATGTCTGTGTTAATAAGAGGGTCAAACCAATAATCTTGACCCCACAGTACTTGACTTAGAGATGCATCTCCCAAGGTATTGAATTCACTAAACAAATGTCAGTCTAAAACAGAAAAATAAATCAAGTTTACTCTGACAACTCATTGGCTTCATCTATAAAATTAGATGATCTATAAATTGTATAATTTGGAAAATAGCCAGCATAGAATTAAACTCTGAAGACTGAAGATTAAACTCAGTAATCTTGTTCTGAAAACTAAATGCTATGTAAAGTGTTTTTTTTTTGTAAAATATTTTTAACATAAGTGAGTTTTACCAACTGGAACACAGAAGAATCATACCACAGACCAATGTCCCTCAACTCACCATCCAAACTTTTAACCACACTTCACTTTGCATTTTGATGAAATTTCTGGTTTAGTGACTCATCAAATTTCATTTCAGAAGACTAATCTGAAACCCACAAAGCTAGCTTATTCTGTATTTTAATACTTAAAATACACAGTATATAAATACACAAAAGCTGAGCAGTTTTTCTGTACACCATCTCCTAGGTAGGTTTTAGGAAGTTTCTTTTTCATCCTCTGGAAGAATCAACATTTTCTTTTAATGTCAATTAGTGATACCTAAAATTCACACCATGATATGATTATAACATTTTTAATATTACTGACAGTTGTGTTAAACAATTTGTTTGTATACAATTACTACTCTTATCACTATCTGAGCAGAATACAGTAACATTTTAAAATAAAAGTATAATTTTAAAAATTTTTGCAAAGAGATGTTCATATTTAAATACAATTGACAAACTCAGCAGAAAGATAGCAGATAAACAAGATTCTGGCTGAGATGGAACTGAATAAGGTAGGTACCCAAAAACCTACTGCAACTTTTTTAAAGCAGATAAAAGAGCAGATTCTTAAAAGATTCAATGTGTCCTTCCAAAGACAAGTCCACAGGAAGACAGAGACCACAAGGAAAAAGCATTCCTGTTCCAGTATATCCAAGAAGGAAGATAGGGGAGGGAGAAAAACCCATAGAAAAGCTAAAACAGTAGGCTTGGATACTGACATCTTAATTTTAAATACAGAAATTCTTACCTCCCACTGTAAGTGAGGCGGGATATTTCGTATCTGAAGTTTCCGAATCCTGCAGAAGAATTGAAAGATTTAAAAAGCAAAAACAAACTACATTAATAGCTAAAATCTGAGGCTTAGTTAAAAATCAGAGGCCACTTAAAATATTAGTTTTATATTCACTGCAAACCAATGTATTACAGAAAATGCAGTCCAAGAAGGAAAAATTAGATAAAAATCAATCTCAAAATAAAAATATTGAAACCTTCTAGAGATGCATCACTGAACTGTTATGGTTTATCTTCACAATCACTAAAATTGGCAGGTATAATATTTGAAAAACACTTCAGCTGATGATTCCATTTAAAGTTCAAAACCTTTGTTGTGAAGATAGGCATCCCAAAATACAACACTGTATTCCTTAATCTGAAATCACAGCCAAGAGATCCATGGGTAGAATTCAGGGTACTAGGATGGGGTATTTTCACTACCCACGTAACAGAAATTTAGCACTTCCTTCAGTTATGGATATTGACATTAAACCACAGTAGAATTAGAGTACTTGTAATTCTGACATCAATATAAATCAGATATTTTCATATCCCATTAAGTTGTTGCAAATCTTTAAGTATGAACTATACTCATTACTGTGAAAGTTTAGGGGTATTGTTAGAACTTGTTACTTAAGTTTTTTTTTTGTTTTTTTTGTTTTTTTTTAAGATTTATTTATTTATTTACACAGAACTGGGGTACAGGCCAGAGATGCGGAGGGTGAGAGGATTCACCAGGGACAGAGTGGGGAGCAGAACAGGCAGATCAACGAAGAACACTGCTGAGGGGAGCAGCGGGCGGGTCAGGAGAGGTCTGCCGCGCCATGTGGTCACGTCCGGGGCAGGCAGGAATCGAACTCATGAGGAAGTGGCTTTAGCTTCTTAGTGCAGTGCTTTAACCCGCTGCGCCACCAGGGAGGGCCTTGTTACTTAAGTTTTAAGAAGCAGATTGTTACAAGCTTTAATGATTTTTTTAAATCATCGTAAAGTAACTTCTTTATAATTTTACTTTTTGCATTTAGAAGCATCCTAGTAAGGACCTTGGTTTCAGATTGCCTAAAGAATCCACTGTACAGAAAACATTAAAAAATGCCAGTTCTTCAAATGCCCACATACTAAATACATAATATACATTATATCCATTACATATTACCTCTTATTACTCCATAGATACTATATATTTATGCATTGCTATATCTGTTATAGATAATATATACAATTCTGCAAGTGTATATTACATATACAGAATGATATACACTATGTTGTGTGTGTGTGTGTGTGTGTTCCACCCCTTCCTCCACACTGTCAAGAGAAAAGAGGGAGGAACTGAAGGAAGAGAGACTTCTGCCCACCTGTGACTATGCAGGTATCTCTTTCTCCTTTTCCTAATAAATGTACTTTGAAAAGGTGAAAAAGAGAGAGGAAGGAGATAAAGAAAGGACATTAACTATGAGATTGTACTATAGATGCCACATAATGACCCCCTTAGAAGGAAATTTATAGTCAACTACCAGCAATTGGACTTGAGATCTCAAATGAGATAATTAACTTCTGAACTTTAGAACTATAATAAATTTCTCTTTTAATAAGTCAAATTCTCCACTTATTTTGAAGCACCACAGCAAGCCACCAGCTTAGTTAGGACTAGACTGACAGCCTGATCCTCTGTTTCTTCCTTTCTCCTCAAAACATGAGAACAAACATGCCACAGATATCGCCTATCCCTGAGGGAACTCTCAAGAACTAGTTAGTAGCCAATCTCAGGTACATCCTGTTTGTAATCACTAAATGGAGCAGGAAGGAAGTAACATTTTACATTATTTTTATGAGACAGTAAAACAAAGCACAATTATGAGGAGCAATATACAAAAGAGATGGCAAAAAGGTCAATTTAAGAAAACAATTTTAAATACCACCTAGTCGCTGAATTTATACATGAAATGCTATAGTCTGGGGCTGGTTTTAAAATAACTCATGTGCTAGCAATTGTAGAAGCTTTATATTTTATATAAAAACCTTAAAATAAAATGATTTCTACTACATACATTTCAAAACTGCTATGTTTTGCTTTTACTGGCATCAGTTATCCTAACTGTGTAAATGTTTGCCTTCAGTAACCAAGGAGCTAAGATTTACTACCAACATTCAAGTACTTATCTCTTACTCAAACAACACAGTGTTAAGAAATTAAGTATTCACCTATATTAGACTTATTTTTCTGGGTATAAGTATTACTGAAACATTTTCAAAAAAACCCTACACACTTAAGTGTACATACAGAGTTCAGGTCAACTAGTAGGTGATTACTCATATTACAAAAACAATTATCAACTTCACAGGACTCCCAAGAAATTCCTTAAATAGAATACCATCTTTTGTACATTCAAAGTAATCCATTAACCATCTTTTCCCAAGGCAGTCTTCAAAAATGTACACTTAAATGCCATTTACTTATTGGAAGTTACTGCCAAATAATTATTTCCCTTAAATGGCTACCCAGTTTCCATTATCTGATTCTCTCAAGTTTCATTTTCAACAAACATCAAACACTTTTTCATACAGTTAGGGCTTCTGACATCTGGAATTGTTCTTTCCCACTTAGCCAGGAAATAAGCTTACACTCTGCAGCTTCACCCTTGGCTGCTAACCCCAAACTCCACTCAAACATACCAGAGCCTAAAGTCTCCGTTGCAAAGACTGATTCCAACCACCCAATACACCCAGCAGACTTTTGACCTGAAAGGTACTTAACAAAATCCACCATCAGCTGTACTTACCAAGCTGACAGTGCACAACTGAAACACAATCACCTGCTCCTCTAGACACCCATCTGAGCTTTCAGAATCGGGTCATCTTTAGATTTTATTGTAAATAATACTTGAGAGTCAAGAAAACAGAGACTGAAATTTGCTTCTACCATTGATTACCAAATAATTAAAGTTCAATTTAACTAAAAGCAAAGTAAATTGGTATTTCATCTCATGAAACAAACCTAACTGGTAATGGGATATGTGGCTCATGGTAACAGGGACTCAGGTTTCTCAGTCACTGCAGTTTCCTGAGCCTGGAACTCGGCACTGAGAAACTCTCAGCTGATAATAATTAAATTTGTTATAATATGCAGAAAGGTAAGAAAACCATAGGCATCACAAACTACTAACATTTCCAATAATTTTCTTACAAATTATAAAGAGACAGGCCTTATTTCCATAGTGTAGTGGTTATCACGTTCGCCTCACACAAATTATAAAGACATGACCCTCCCAGGTCGCTCAAAAGGTTAATGGGCAGCACTACAGAGCTACCTGCTGCTGCTTCAGCAGGATTTAGATTCCTGCCCCAGAGGTGATCCACATGGCGTGGCTGACAGAGCTCTCGTCTCTTCCACTGCTCCCCTCAGCAGTGTACTTCGTCTATCTGCCCATTCTGTTCCCCACTCTGTCTCTGGTGAATCCTCTCACTACCCTTGCACCTCTGGCTTGTACCCCAGTTCTGTATGCATAAGTAAGTAAATCTTTAAAGAAAAAAAAAAGAGAGTGAACCCTGGAGCCCCTGGCATCACCCCCACAGAGTTTTCAGTAGTGCACAGGGCAGACAATCCAGCAGGGACGGCAACTTGGGCTCCCGTGAATTCATAAGCTCTTTCCTCTGGGCTTCCGCTGGCGTCTCTTGTGGTCTCTTCTTCTCGCAGCCCAGCTATCTCTGAGTAACCCGCCCTTATATCCCTGACCTCTAGACTCAGGTGTGCACGCTTGCACAGGCATACACACCTATGCTCAGGTGTCTATAGTCAGGCACTGTGCCTTACACCCTTTTACAGTAACAAGATATAGGCTGCAAGTGATAGAACAGAGGTCAATGGTGTAAAAGCCTAACCAGTTCACTTACCCTACAACTGCCACAATTAAGCTTGAGAAAACTCCCCCCAAAATTATTTGATCACCTGTTTAAAAAAAAAAAAAAAAAAAAAAAAAACTATAAGTTGACCAAATAACTTTAAGGGTTTTTTCTGAGAGGGGAAAATGAAGTAAAGTTCAAGTTCTCAGGCTAACAGTTTTTTTTTTTTTTCTTTAAAGATTTATTGATGTATACATATAAGAACTGGAGTACCGGCCAGAGGTATGGGGTTGAGAGGATTCACCAGAGACCGGGGGTGGGGGTGGGGGAGCCTTAATAGGTAGAGAAATACACTGCTGGGAGGAGCAGCAGGTGAGACAGGGGAGGTCTGCTGCATTGCACCATGTGGGCCAGGCTCCCTGGCCAGGCATTGAATTCTTGTTACAGTGGCTGCAGATAGCTCCATAGTCCTGATGTTTTAACCTGTTGCACCACCAGGGAGGGCACGATAACTAATTATTACTTTTTTTTTAACTTTTTTTAATGTCTATTGGGCTTGAGTATTAGTAATCACAAATATTCAGTGGCAAAATTATTAAAAGCAGGTTTAATTACAAGATAGCCAATAGAGAAGCACAAATAGACTTTAAAGCACCTTTATAAGATCTTTAGTATGTATAAACAGTGGAATTGATTTAAATTTTAAAAATTTTCAAACTGACTGCTTTAAAAACTACTTAAATCAACCTCCATGTGATATCATTTTCATTATTAAATAAGATCATCTAATCGTGATTATCTATATTCACACCTGTGCCAACAAATCCCACTTACATGGCCTGTCATGCTGAAGTACTTAAGTCAGCAGGCTTATAAGAACCTTTTATGTATAAACCTAACTACTATTGCTCAAAAAAGTCATTAACAAAAATTCCTTGATATCAGATATGCACTATTTATTCCCAACTACTTAATAATTATCTTTTTTAACAGTTGGTTTGTTCACATCAAGAGCCCAGTAAGTTACACACATGTTTCCAGGTGCTATTTCTTAGGTCTATTTGATATATGATTTTCCCTTCACTGTTTTCTTGCCATTTATTTGGCAGGTCAGTTAACAAATCCTGTACTGTTACACATTCTGGATTTTGCTCACTCATCCTTTTTGTGTCATTGTAATACTTGT